GTTACTACTAGCGTGGCACTTGTTCCTACTAGCTTCTTGTTACTACTGGTGAGGTTCTTTTGGTCACTCCTCTGGACCCCAACGAAACGTTCAACAGCATTTCACTGCACGTCTGCCCGCTCCCTGTCAACAGGATTCTGTTCGGAATGCACCCTGACTCTACAAAGGGCTTTGGCAGGACAAGATTGAGGGCTCACTTTGAAAGACATATATAGCCGATGCCAAAACTGTCTTAACATTTTAGGGTGACACTTGTGTTTTTGTTCAACGTGTTCTTGCAAAAGGTATTCGAAGCCTTGGTCCTTAAACTTTGATGTTATATATTTGCACCCATACTCTGCACAGCAACACTTCAGTTCTTTTGGTGACACGGGCTGCCCGCATGCTGATTGCATGGACCAAGATCCGGAAAATCTACGGTCAGCGAGGTCAACACTGGCCGAGATGTAACTATTGGCATCGATATCGATAGTACATACAGGTGACCCTGTACCTGTATCAACTATAGATGGAGGTTTCTACTGAGGTTTCTGTGTATATGTATATATATATATATATTGATTTCATGGATGTCATCTGATAGGCATGCTATTACCACATACTACCACCCTCCACCCAAAGAAACAGCTCCTGCATGTTTTCACGGTGTACCAAAGTAAGCTCTTCCCTCCCGAAAGAAAAAAAACACATCCCAGCAGCCGGCCGGTTCTCCCGATCACGGCCAATGATGCGCATGTCGCAGGCCACCTGACCAGGCGCCCGGAACATGTACACAGGACACGCTGTTTTGGCGCCCGGAACATGGGGGGTGTTTCAACCCTGAAAACGTGGTGAAAACCGGTGGTCCTGGGTCCTGTTCCCTTCAACATCAACTGATCACCATTTCTGGGACTTTGAGGTTCAGTGCGACGGAGTGGGTCTTGGTACGGGTCTGGCCTGACCTCCGGGACCTGAGCAGACCGTAATTGACATGGTCCTTCGATCAAACGTGCTCAGATCTACTCACTGCTCACCCTTTGCTGTTTTGGGTGTAGTCTTGATCCGCAGCCCTGCACCCCTTCTTCATTCATAGAGGAATCGCGTCAGCCGGTTTTTCGGATGGAAGAGCTTCGGTGTCTGGCTTTGGTGTAATTCTTCGGAAGATGGAACGCCACGAGGAAAACCACCATGGTCCTCATGAGCTCCCAACCCCCTTGAAACAACAATCTTCTTCAACGTGACTCTTTTGGAGTGCCCCAGTCTGTCATTTTGCACGCCGAATAGGACCTCAAATCACGACATCAACTAACTAGTCACTTTGAAGAACCAGAAACATGTATTTCGAGGATCTTGCAGACTAATAAAAGAAAACTGCTCATAGGAATCCGCACCACATAGGGGTATAGATGAGACTTCAATCTTCAATACCTACAACTGCATGAAGCGCAGGATATAGACCTTCTTGATGCGAGTGTGAGTGATCTTTAATGTCTCTAATATATTGACCAAACATATGCCAATAACATCAACTTGGGGAACCATACTTTTAAGACCGACACTGTGACCACACACACAAAACACAAAAGCATTCCACCTGGGATCATTGCATAAGCCCGATGCAAAAGGACTTGGATTTCCTGAAGCAGAGCTGAATTAGCTCGCAGACTCCCTGTCGTTGTTGCTTTTCCGTCACATTCCTCCGCTCTCGTCTCCACTCTTTCGTCGTACCCCACCTTGCAGCGCATAGATTGGAACAGCTCCCTCTCCCGTACGCGGCACTCGATGGCCTTCATCAGCATCGGCACAGCCTGGTCCCGTCCGGTCCCGGTGCACGGTACGCTCTTCTTTTCAGGCGAGGTTTTCCATGGTTGAAGCATCCGATTCCTGGTGTCTGCATGGTGTGACCATTGAAATATTGGAGTCCATCAACGCATCGCATCTGGGACCCAATGTGCGGCGTGTTTTCGCTCCCCAAACCGCAGGATTCCGTGAGAAATCCCGTCACGGCCGGACCCCAAATGGGGCTCTAGATCCAGTCGTCCACCGAACGTCGTCACGGCCGCCGAGACTCGCAGAGAAGACCGGTGGATCTGGGGACTCCGGATAATTTTGGTTCAATATAGCGTCGAACGAAGGCAGAATGGTTGAACTAGTAATGGACATGTATGTAATAATAACTATATACAAATAGGTTAGGGCAGTTATATATGGGCTGCATATACCTGGTATATGTCCATATTCCGCTGGAAGGCTGCAAGAAGCACTCCGATCAATCCATCCAGATCCTTTGTGCCTTGGAAACTGAGTGGAACCTGCAGCCACTGCGTATCACTTCGTTAATGATCGACCATCTCGAGGAGGCTAAAACATGGAGAACACTACGGAGGATCAACGCGAGACTCAGCGGATGGTTTGAATACCTTCCCTTTGGACTTCGGTATCCCTTTGGGAGTCACAAAGGGATGTCCTTGTCATTTACTGAAGACAGCGTCTCCTCAACCAATACCCAAGCGGATATCCATCCCTATTCCGCACGCCTGACTCATGCTGCCTGGCGCGGCGTTTCTTTTGAGGGCCGTAACTTGGGGCTACCCGGATGGCCTGCTCTCCAGTATCAACCTTCAATCGCTAGCACCCAAAGAGTGGGACTGACTCCCCTGGTGTAGCTCCAAGAGCGCAGGACAGGTCACAACCGGTTCCGGTTGCTGGGTCACCCAGGTTGGTGGCCCGGCTACGGTATCTCCACAGCCACCCTCAAGCGGTGAGATGGTGCAGATCCGAAGCTGGAGTGGTGCCAGCTGCATGTACCCTGCTGAAGCTGCTTGGGAAGGCACCAAAACTGAACAGATCTTGAACACCAGCTGTGCTCTCCAAAGACCTGACGTCTTGCGAACCTCTCTGAAAATCTGGAGGTCAGGCTCTGGGGGAGGCAAATCTTTGGAATCTTCCAAAACTGACAAACCTCACGGTGGACCTGGGAAGACATCTTCCGTTACAAAACGGTTTTCCTTGACTGGGAATGACTGTCCGATTGGAGGTGGTCCACACCCATCCGTTGGGTCGAGACTTCGACCGATGGTGCTGAACCCAAATGCAAGCACTTCAATTGTCACTTCCACTAGTCTGACCAGTCCTCTTGAGAGGAAACTGGAAAAACCATCATGCAAAAAGTCCAGAAACTTGGGTCACTCCAGCATTGTCACTCCGACTCGCCCTGCGTCGCTCGCGCGAATGAAACACGGGGGTAGTTTTTGGTGCCTTGAGAGGCTCGTAGCATGCGCCGCACCGTTGTGAGGTTCGTCCACTCCTCCGCAGCTGGCACAGTTGCCAGTGTCTGCAGCTGGCTGGAAGGAGTAGATAGCCTATAGCTGAAGACTGGAGGTGTTGAATGAAGTCTATTCCACCAGATCATCATGAGGTAAAAACTGCAGATTGCCTTTAGTTGAATTCATTGGTTCTTGCATTGCGTGTCCTATTGGAGGCACATAAACCCGTTATGTACCCGTTCTTGGTGGCTCTTCAACTGCTCCCCGGATTTGAGCCATTCTTAGGCCCCTCAAGCTCAAAGTAAGGGGCCTGGTTGGCTTCTAGCTTGGCACGAACATCGGACGTGCTGATCGACCGATCGAACTCTCCAGGTCCTCCAGCTCCGGAAAGCCGTGCTTCAACTGCACGCGGAGCTTCTCATCCAGGTCGCCCTCCTCACGGGGACGCAAGTGTTGTGTTTTGTTTGGATTTTCACATAATTACATATTGTTCTCATGATGACAGTTATTTGGCACCAAATGCCACCCGACGACCAAGGGAATAATCCCTGGAACAGGGTGGAACTCCGAGCTCCAGCGGGAGCGGCTTCGAGGAACTGCGTCATACTGCAATTGTCACATTGAAGGGATCTGCTTGATGCAACTCGCTGACCCTACATGCGTATAGACGCACCACAAACAAGGAGTAGGGTTGTTCAACAACCGTGTTGAAGGTCAGGATCGAAGAGTTCTCCTGCAATATAGATTTAGTCTTTCCCATTCGAGTTGGTCCAATTTAGTTAGTTTTGCTTTGAGCCATGCGTTTTCTGCAGCACCCCTCAACACATCTCAAAACCGCATACAATAAGAATCAGAACCTGTGAGATGTGAGGGGGGTTCTTCTTTTGACCCCAAGCGCCGCCGCTAGCCACTAGCCAATAGAGCCTATGAACAACCACTATCTACCGTGAAGCTGAAGGAGCCAAGAGGCTTCCCTATGAACAACTCCTGCACCATCCTTGTTACTTGCCCACATTCCCTGGAACAAGTGGTTGGGACAAGGGAACAGTCCCAACTACTCCCAACTGTTGTGAATTTCAGTGGTGAATCACAGTTGTGAATTTCAGTGTTCACAGTTGTGCGTCCTGTGACTGAAAAAAAAACAACACACAAAAAACATTAAACAAAATTATCAGTTGGTGAAGTCCCAGGGCAATCCAATGCCGACCCCCAAACACATCTAGACACTCCATGGAGCATTATCTTGACCCGGGTCAATGTACATATACATACATATATACATACTCCGCACATTAAAAAACGTAACAACATCAGTGCGATCAGTGTTGCACTCCCTCAATCTGCATCTTTTGGCGTATCAGTCCCATCGGTAGTGTATTTGGGACTTGGTTGTTCCCGCTGTGTTCCTATCCCCACACGTCGTCCGTCAGGGGTTACAGGTCCTCGATACGACGTCTCCACTGTTCTCGGACATCGTTGCGGAGCACCGGCACCAGGTCTTCGTAGACGTCTTCCGGCAAGAGGGGCACCGAGTCTGGGTCCGTCTTCCGTGGCATGCCACGCAGGGACTCACGCTCTGCATAGGTACGGAAGCCAGCCTCATGGAAGAGTGTTGGATGCAGGCAAGGGCCAGGATTGGAATTTTTGGCATGTAAATGGCCGTTGGTCAGGTGAACAGAAGACGCTGGGATATTTAGATTTTTGCGCTTGCCAAGGCCCCAGTAGAAAGGTATATTATAGTCTGTTCTGATGTACGATGGTTCTTTAGCGGATGTGACAATTTTGATTGATTCAAGACTCCAAGGCTGTAGCAGGAGAAGTGTCCTTTCAAGATTCTGTTGGCGAAAGCAATGCGACCACCGTATGATTCCTTGTTTTGTGTTTTTCTTGGCTGAAATGAGCTAATCAAGAGAAGCTGCACCATGCACAAAGTTGATGGACGATCCAAACCACCCAAACGAACCCTTGGAAGGACCTGAACCTGAGGACATTCTTGCGATTACACCTAGCAGTGCTAACATCTGAGTTGTCTTGGTTGTTGCTTAGCCCCTCACTAAAACAAGGCTACGGAAGGGATATGCAAGGCTACACAAGTAAGGCGGAGAAAGGTGCAATGCAAATAGAACGCAGATCAATCTGGGCACTTGCCTCTCCTCTCCTTCATTTGAAATGACTGCAAGATCACAGGATACAGTATCCCATCTTCTGGGCTCCATATGAATCCTGCATCTTTCTATGATCCACGCATTCCTCCTTGAGGGGACTCCAAGGCAAAACCGGCGGAGAAATCCCCGGCAAATCCATCGATCCATCGCCAATCGACCAAACCGAGTCCGAGACAGGATTTCGACTTTGACTTAAAACCTACAGCTGATCATAGATATGTTTTTCTTCAAGGAATGTGGAAGGTCTCGAGACATTGTGACATTTGCCGAAAGCGCAGTTTGCATATAACGGATAACGTGTGGGGTTCACAAAGAGCCACTTGTTCACGTAGAGTGGACAAGTGATTCTCTTTGCAAGTTAAACATTCCATGTATTTCCATGTATCCAAACCATGCACGTATTTCCATACCTTGCATACAGGAAAATCATTGAACACCTAACGCTTCTGGGAAAGAAGGGCAAAAGCATTCCAACACATCGCCTCGGACACCTCCCGCGCCTCGGGCACGAGACCCAAGGAGCGAGTGCAGTCGCTCCCACGCCGTTCCAGGGGGTAGCGCCGAGGCCCGGGGAGGCTCCCTTCGCCGGAATGTGCCCTTTGGAGCATCTCCTGGAGTTGATGGTGTACTTGGATCCACGATCTCAGATTTGAAGGGGAGTTGATGCTTGGTCCGAAAAAAGAAACAAACACTGATCCGAGTCACCCAACACCCCTTTTTTTGTAGCTCGGCTCAAAAGTTAAAGCATCGGAAAGCCCTCGTGGACTCGTGGTGGCCATGTGGAAGTCCAACTCTCACCGTTGGTCTGAGACGATCCAGTCTGGTCTCGGTTGGGAGCATGGCCAGGTTGGGAGCATACCGTCATGGAGTGAAGCAACTCCTTCTTGGGGTCGTCTGGTAGAATCGAACGAATATGCGAACAAATATGCTTACGAATGATCATCAACAAAAGCAAACCAGCTTCAATCGTGGCGCAGGTCCACAGAGTGACATGATTCACATGACATCTGTGTTGATTCAGCAGCAGGTCATTCACCCCCTCTCTACCGCAAAGCCGGGAGAAGCTGCGGTTTTTTTCGGAGCCCACGATCGGGTCGGCGGGTCGGTCCTCATGAGTCTCGTAGCAATCAAAGAAAGCTTGGAATTCATCGGCTTCTGGAAGGTCTTGCCAGGAATTGTGCCTTTCATCGGTCGAACGCTACTGGTATTACCCGAAGTAACGAAGAACATGCCCATGTTTTTAGTTGTTTGTTTGTCGCTTTTCTCATCTTTTCTCCGGGTATTTTGGAACCAAGCCCTTACTTTTGGGACACATCCACTCAGTCGGAATGACTCAGAGCCTGGCACAAAACAAACTTCATCCAAAAAACATGCCAATGGGTTTTGGTATATCCCTACCAGGGAGTCTTTGGGAGGTCTCCCTATTTTAAAACACACCCATATGCAGTGGATCTTCAATTGCTGTTGCAACAAGTGACACAGGTCTGCCAATACCTCCAAACATGCTCACTCGCACCTAGTGGAGGTCATGGACTTGGTCTTGGTTGCATCCCAATCCAATCGCTTGTCCTCACCATCCTCACATCGCGGTGACCATTTCCTGCTGTAGCTCAGTACTCCATACTAACATCCTTTAAACTGACAATCACGGAGGTCCATTGACTTACCGTGACTTAGGTAACATAGGGCTAATTCAGCCCTCTCTCGTAACTCCAAACAGTGGGCTGCCCACACACTTCCACCGACAAGGAAGCCTCCTCACGACAAGGAAGCCTTCGACAAGGCACGTCTTGAAGGTGGGGATGAATATATCTATTATGATCTATTATACAACTCTTGTCGCATCTGGCTAGGCCGAGGGTAGATGGAACATTTCAATACATTTCATAGTCCATCCTAGGTAGATGAAACATTTCATAGTCATAGTCCATGTTGAATCCCTAGTGTGATACTGATAGTCTGAAGGCTAGTCACTATAGTCTGGCGTTGACGTCCAAACATCAGTCGGGTGAATTCACTCCGCACCAGGTCGACGAGTCCCAACCCGACTTCGGACGAGTCCAGTCACCGCGCCTGTTCTTGATCAAATGCACTGCGGCTTCATCTCCGCGAGTCGTACAGCAAACGTTGGGAATACCCCCAAGCGATGCACCCATGGCTGGTCAAACGATTTCGGCTTGGGCACGTCCCTGCGGCACCCACCGGCTTCGGCTTGTGCACGGCCGAGGGAACCGCAGGAGTACGTGCCAAAAGAAGAAAAGAAAGGTATCTTCGTCAGGAAGCCTTCTGTCCAAGATGAGGCATGGTTAGGGGACATTGGAGTGTCAGTGATTGAGATGCAAAGATTGAATGTTCGGAAGCCCATTTCTTTACTTCCCCCATGAAATCCTTTTGATATCTTATGATGTGTTGAGCTTGGGCAGCAATTTTTCATGCTGAGTGACCTGATGGGCCAAAGAGGCATCTGTTGATGGAGAAGTTGCCCCACCAAGTTCCATTCTCCACATATAGCAATTTGTTCCCACGAAAGCTAAGTCTCATGTGACATTAACTATATACAAGTATGGTCAAAACCTGACAATATAACAAGAACTGCTCCCGCTCCTCGTTAGATACGGTACTGGAAACAACAGGTTCTATATGTCCCTCAAGCCTATATTACGACTCTTTGTCGCATCCCCTATCCCTGGCGGCTGGCGGTGGAGAAAATCTTCAACACACAAACACTGGATCCAGAGTACATCTCTGCGAGTTCCGATCGATTGGGGAAGAGTGTGATGGAACATCTCACCCTATAGTTACCACATCCTCAATTGGAAGTTGGGCTTAACCAGGCAACACCAAACATCTTCCTGAACACTGACCAACTACTGACTCACAAGGTAATGTGAAGCGCACATGAATCCGTAGCTCTCTCAATGCAAAACAGAAAACACACCCTAACTGCATGTCACAAGCAGGTTTGCCTCATGGTCCATCCATTGATCACTCCCCCAAAAACAAACAAAAACAATGCGACTTAGAGGAATCTTTTGTGGCCCTGGCTGTGGCTTCATCCTCCAGACTTCTTGGCGCACCATCCTCCTTCATGAACCAAACGGATCGTCCCCTCATCATCCCATCCCGACCCCAAAACCACCTGCTTGTACCCTATCAAGTACCCTAAGTACGTGTACGTATCTCGTCTCTGGAAGTCTGGAAGTCTCGAGATTGTCCTAATTAGATGGTGAACTTGGCCCAGCTGATGCTTCTGACAAAAGAATACGACGTGCCACCTGAGATGGGGAGAATCATCACCTTCTTACGAAGGTGGAATCTGTCCACGGTTTCCCTCCGAACATCTCCGAACGAAGGGCACCACCGTATCAGGTTACCGCATGTTGCTCTCTTTTTTCCCGAAGTGCGATGCGGACACAAGTGGAAAATCGACCAATTTTTGGTCGACTTGGTCAACAAGCCCCGAACCCAGGGGCGTGCGTGATCTTGGCTGTTTGGTTCCCTTCCAGGTCAACGCATAATATCATTGGGCGATTTGTTCAACTTGTACTATAGACCCATGAGATAAGAGATGTGAATCTCCGACATAATAAGTCTTAAGATGTTGTGGTCAAATGGAAAGCATATCGGTGCATCTATTGGCTTGGGGACCTCTTTCCAGGGGCTCGTTGCACTTTTGCACCTTCATAATTCCAGGAACCAAAAATGTACCTACCCTAAAATCTGTTTGTTTTGCAGGGTTGAGCTGGGTTGAGCTGGTGAAAGATCTGCTCCAACTAGAGTTGTACCTAGATTCCACTTCAGACTAGGACCGTTGTTGGAATGTGCAAAGCAATAGCAACAGCAAGAACGAATCAGGCCTTCCTTCACCAGGCCGCCACTGGACATTAGGAAGCTATTTATGCCCAAAACATTCATGTATGGAATAGTTGCCTACATTACGATCATAAATGGGGTAAACTGTATGTAACTATTCCATACATGGATTGCCTGGGCTAAATAACGCATTTTTGCCTCGATTCTTATTTGATCTTATTTATATACAGCAACACGTAAATGCAGATCGACACACTGCGTGCTGGCTCACTTGACCGCTTGATGTTGCACTATAGATTGATGGGAATCAAATACATTATGTCATTATGCTATTTGATGCTATTTGGAACCATTAAATGAATCGGTAGGGGTCTCCGCGGATCTTCAGCGGAAGCTACTCCCAAAACGAAAAAATAACTCTCAAGGGACCTCGCTCGCGGAACCGGCTCCGGCTCCGGAACCGGCCAGCGCCGAGCCATTGCGTGCGGAGCCTCTGCGCGCCTCGCGGGGTCTGCCGAGTCTCCCTGAGGCTTCACTCGTCGGAGATCTGGGCGACGAGTCTCCCTGTGGTGAGCTGACTCGACTGCTCGAGGATCCCGAGCCGTCGGAGCCCTTGGAGGTCTCCGAGCGCTGGTGGTTGAAGTGAAGCGAGACGACTCGATGTCTAGGCGAGCTGGGTGGTGAACCAGTGAGCTCGGTCTGCGTAGAACAGGCAGTTCGAGCAGTCCTTGGCAGGTGTCCCAAACTGGAGAAAACGTTCAAGATTTTCAAAAGTAACAAAAGGGTATCCTGTTCCTCCCTGAAGATTCTCCTTCCAAGCATTTCCAAGCAGATTTCTTAATTAAGGGGTCCGCAAAAAGAAGCAAGCATTACTCATACTCAGCAATCCCAAAGGTCGTGTTTCCTTTGTAGTCACTCAAAGCTCCAATGCTGGGTAGAAATGCATTCGAGCATTCTTTCTGCAAGGCCGCAATGGCATAGGACAAGGTCTTCATGGCATAGGTCGTTTCCATCAGATTCTTCTCTTGTTTTCTCACCTCTTTCCTGCGAAGCTCTGATATTTGCTCCTCCGCGTGGTCCATGGTGGAATCCATGGTGCTCCTCAACTGGCCCTGCAGGTTCGAAGTCCGCGCTTGAAAGACTTCGCAGATTGCAGCTTTCAGCTTCCTGGAGGAAGGACCCAAACCATCACGCGAGTCGATGAGTGCTTAGGCTAGCGGCTAGCGAAAAATCACCCTCCAAGAAAGCAAATGGCAAGTCCAAAACCTGACAAAGGCATTTGGATGCATTTGGTTTATAGAGGTAGGGTTTGCTGCTGGCTTCCGCATTACACTCACTTGGACCTAGGGTCTAAGAAACACTCTGAAGTTCACTTGCTCCCTAATCAACTTTCAACATCTTCAAACAAATCCACCCTTCCCAAATCTGCACCCCTCCCGTTTGCCCTGCAACTCCAACTACCTTCTCAGGTGTGCTTGGGATGTCTTTGGGTCCAAATAGAAGTACTTGGAGCCCCCCTGCGCGAGCCCCTGGGACGTCAGGCTGTCCCGTCTCGTCTCCTCTCTGCGCTGCCCAACTCTCGAAAGCTCCGGTTCGTGCACTTCCGCACCGTGCATTGCATGGCGCGACTCACCTCGTCGAAGCGGTTGGAGCGCAAGCGCATGAGACCTCGGCGCGACCGCGGCACAGGAAGGACGAAGGACCAATTCTGAGATCACCAAAGCCTTTTTAGAGACTTCTTGGGAGCTATTTGTATTGCTTAGTATATGTGCGGCATCGAAATTGAGTAAACTCAAATACACCATCCATTATGTGGAGGCCCTATCTCGTTTAGACAACGTAAGTAGGAGGTCATGTCACAGTATTTCGTTCAGACTACAATAGTAGCATCACACTACCTCGTTCAAACTACTTTAGTGTCATCAGGCAAAAGTATCTCGTTTATTGGGGCCCTTTATCGTTCACAAGCGAATACTAATGATAGACAAACAAATCCAGCATGCCTTAGACTACATTAGTAAAGCCTAAACAAAAGTGGTTGCTAATGTATGATTCCAGAGAATGGATGGAGGAAAAGAGCAATTCTATTGAGGCTCCAAAGGAGCTGTCAGAAGTTCTTTTGGAAGGACTGGGGACTTATAAACACCCGGTGGTGATTGGAACAGCAGGGCTGCTAGGGTTTGTCCTTTTTTAGAGGTTTTTGTTGAAGCACTGGTCAGCGTTAAAGAAAGATCAGGAGACCCCAGTTTACCTGAATATCGCCCAAAAATTAGAGGAGAACAACTCTTAGGAACTGCCTGGCTGACCCCAAACAAACACAAGCATTCAGTGATTCTCTTCTTTCTCAAGGGATATCGCTCTCAGAATATACTCTTTCCATTGAACACATCATTAATGAGAAGGTCCAGGTGTGGTATTCCCAGTCAATCTCTCATTATTAATATAGTTTCACCTTTGTTGGGGACGACGTACACTTCTACAATTCTGCGGCATCCTAGGAACTCTAAACATTCCGCTTTGACGGACCTGAAGAAAATTTGTACTATTATAGATTCCATAGAATCCCTCCAATCACTGAGACGAACGAACGAAAATCATGATGGATTCACTACGGATTCCAGGAATCTTTAGGCACTCCAAGTTATCCAAATAGATCCAAAGAATCAGTTGACACGATAACATGTAAATGCATCTAACTGCACGTTGGAAGTCCTCCACTCTTCTGCTTTGGGACCTTGGGGTCAACAAAGGGAATTGTCCAGCAACAAATAGATCACTCCAAGCAAATCCGGGACACCTTCTTGAAGCTCGCTACAAGTCACTTTGCCTTGGCTCACAAACCCTGCAAGTGAGGGAAAATGTGGCAACTTGTGGCTTGTTGTTTGATAACGTGCTATTTGTTGAACATGTCTAGTAGGAGGTGAACTAATTTGGGATCTACCAGGCAACCACCCTCTTCCACTAGATGGATATTGTGTCGTATGTAAAGCTTTGGTGGACCTACGAGTTACAAGCACTACCCAAACAACATACCGGTGGATAATGTAGATTTCATTATTTAACTCAAAGGTGACCCTGCATTTGAGGACCCCACCGGCAAAGGGGCAGGTCTGGAGTCAGGAGCCTTGGCCAATTAATCCACTTCCATTGGCCATCCGTTGTGGAGCAAAGTGGACATCGAACAATAAATCAAACAAATATTGCTTTTTGTTGAATTTGAACTAGTATCACGAGCCATACAGGGATCCACGGTCCACTGCCACCGTCTGCGGTTTGGTGCTTGCAGATGTGTAGGGGTGGGTTTGGATGGCCTTCTCTAAAGATATATATAACTGACTTCCAAGCGGCCATTGGCATCTTCATCAATCAAGCACTGCAGCAGGTCATTCTGCGATGGCAGGGTCACCTTCGCCCAAACAATCGCACCATGTTGGTTCACGAATCCAATGACTGGTCTCATCTCCATTTTCCATTCAGCCAGGGTAGCTTACTTTGCTTAAGTTGTGTATATATATATATGATATCTTCCAGCCATCACCTGCCTTTAAGTCATCCAGAACCTCATTGGCCAGAACCGACTTGAAGAGCCTGGTGTGCGCCAGCACGATCTGTGCATGGCGCACGATGCGCTTGAAAACGGTCTACTGATGGACCGACCGGACCTGGCCGTTACCGAAGTGACGCGGGTGGGGAATCCTAGCGGGGTGAAGGCGATCCTCCAATCGAAATGGAGACCGACCGTGGTTTCGACGGTTGTTTTTTGGGCATCCAAACAGAAGGTCTGGTCTGCACTTTTTGGTACGCGTATTTGGTCCAGTGGAGTCAAGTTCTGCTGGGAATGGATTAAAATATCAATTAAAAACTTTGAGGACGCCACCGATGTGCACCTGACCTCGGACAGCCCGGGGCTGTCCAGCTTCATGATTAATTTGTCTGAAGTACGAAGCAGGGATGCTGGGATGTGCCGGGTCTATCGACAGAAACGACTGACATGTTTCATGTTTTACAATGCAACGCTTTCCAAAGTCCCCCAAATCGGCTGCATGACCATGTCCATAGTCGCTTAAAGGCCACAAACATGGTTGAGTTTGATCTTCCAAGGCAATATGTTAAGCCTGATGAGCTTATGGTTATGATTCTTGATTCTGACTCATTGAGATTCCTTCTAATGGTCAACCATGAAGTTATCTTGAATACGGAAATCAACTTTGACCATTAACCGAGTGACTGGATCCAAATGTTCGGCTTGAACAAAAGGATTGAGCCATCGTCTCGAACAAAACTCTCTGACCATCTCTGACCTCTGATCGATCAAAATTTGTCTGGCCTGATATACTCATGCTGCGACAAGTACTTGGACTTCTTCTTGGGAGTCGCTTCGTACAACTCCGCCACCTGCTTCTGTACCACTCCGGGCGTCGCGTCGCAGGCCGATCGCGTCAGCGGACACGCGAGGCCGGTGGTTCGGGACCACCCCGGTGCCATTTCGAGTCGGTGACCGTACTGAGCCCGTCCCACCAAAAGGTATTGAGCCGAGTGACGGAGTCCATGACCTACAATAGAGGGTGTCACCTCCAGAACATATCCTATTCCATATCCATACCGTACCTGAAGTACGTAGAGATGGGATGGCACGAGTTAATACAGCCGCGTCCACCAAGTCACGACCGACGCCGGTCAACGACCTGCCCACATCACTCTTTCATTCATGTCCTTGGTGTGTACCTTTTGCGATAGCTGCGATAGCTGCTTTCAATATACTTTTTGGTTCATCTGTCAGAAGGCCTGTTGTTTCAGCATCTCGAACTCGAACTCCTTCTCTTCGAACGAGGCGGGTGGCAGCTGTCGGGCCAGCTCCATGACCCGCTCGCACACCACACCTGGGCGCCCGCGGCCGAATACCTCCTCAGGGTGGGACTGGAGTAGGTTTGGATGGTGTAAGTACCTTCTGAGAAGGGGCGCCTTCAAAGAGCCCCTTTCTCAGAAGGCAGGCTTCGTCTTCAGACCCAATGTTAAAGACTCTAGTCATTGACCACTGCATGAAGCTGTTTTCTTTGCCTCCCAAACAAATCCACCGCTTCAGGGCCATGGCAGCCATGGAAAGCGCCCTTCCCGGAAGAGCCAGGCCTGTGACCAGGTTCAGGAGGGCAAAGTTGCTCAAGCCTCCCAATTCAAGGGATTTCAGGATTCATCTGTTTGATTCTTGTCGGCATCCTAAGTATATCCAGAAAGTCAGTCGAATTCCACGTGTCAAGGAATCATGGGATGATCAAGCAACACGATGATTGAACATTGAATAAGTTATTAGCTGCCATAGGAGAGAGAAATGATGTCAGCAAGGATCACAAGCCTTTTTGGGGGTTGATAGGTATTTGTTTGATGGACCCTGCAGGATTTCTTCCTTAAGTGCATCTCAAAACGGTGAAGCATTTGCACATATCTCAAATCCCGACTCCGGCAATCTTCCGAAGCTGCTGTTTTTGTTTTCAGAATTTATGTGAGATTGTATTCCCGTTCCTCAAAGTGACCTCTTCAAAGCCCCAAGTCGACCTTTTGGAAGGTCAGGTGATGTTAAACTGCAGTAAACCTCAAAAGGCTTTGAAGAACCAAATTATATAGATTCAACACCGTGCTCTGAAAGACATATCGAATGTGCTGAAAATCAAGCTGAGAAGCAAATGAAGACCACCAAATAAGCCGCCCAAAACTTTGAATCATTCAGCATCGCTGCAGAGATCGTGGGCCAACCCTCCACTAAGACCAGCTGGATGTGTGTCAAGAAGCCTAAAGACGGAGTCACTATGCGGTGAGAGCGAAGCAAGGATGGTTTCAGGCACAGTCAATGTTAGAATATTTATAAATGTGACGAGTTTGCTCACTGGATCAAAATTGAGTGTAGATTGGTCAAGGGTTGTTGAACAATGACCCCTTTGTTTACTGCCACCAGGCAGTGATTTGCGGGTCTTGACTCCCCCAAGGGTCTTTCAAAGCTGCACAGGCTCCGGTCTCTCGCAGGGTGAGAGTTGATCGCTAGATTCGTGGTGTATTGGTTGGGTAAAGGCTTAAGCCACATTCCTACCCTACAGCTTCACATGAGAAGAATACCTAAGAAGCTGTTGGTTTGCTTTTGAACGCAGGGATTCCTGCACAAAAAAGAAGGGCAACACATAAATAAATATGATATTGCTGGCTCAATGCGAATGTCTCGGGCCTGTAAATCAAAAAGGACGGGCATAAACAAAAAGGAAACAGGAGCATGAACAGGAAACCCATACAAAAGAAGGCAAAATAGGAGTATTATATATCATGAACATGAGTCTATTAGTGCACAAAAAGGGCAAGAAACACAAGAACGAGACATGTCGCAGGCAAAGGAATGAGCGAGAAGTAGAGGAGAATTGAAGAAGCTAAACAGTGTGTTCTTGTTGCTTTGCATGCAAAACGCTGGACGGGGCCAGGGGCGGGCGCCTCCCCCAACAGCAAATCAGGAAAGAAGGTACAATCGATCGGTTTTGCACAACTTCTGCGAGTGTGAGCGGATGGAGCATAGTATAAAAGGATCTGTATATATATATATATTAAAAGAAATTTAAACATATCTATACTGTTACATCAGCCGTGCTGGACACTGCAAATTAATCATCATTTGGAGATGGTTGCCCATGGAAGTCAAGAAAAAATGTCAGAATCTATAATGAATACCTCCTCGCATTTCAATGTACCCTAAGACTAGAATCAAGGACCCTCAAAGGTGAAGGTTTTGAGGGTCCAAACCCCTGCTATGCAGGGTCAAGACTCTCCGTAGGAAGGTCCAAGGATGCTTGGGACAATTATCTAGGGTAATTAATGGTTGTAAATGGTAAACATTTCAATGGCTTGATCACACCTCGCTCCGCGGAACCATCACACCTTGAAGGCCGTAGCAACCCGGTTGACGGATCCTGTGGTATCACTGGGAACGATCCATGCGACAAGCCTGAATTCGAACAAAAGCACCTGCAACGGGATGCTTGCCCAACAACCAGATCACCAACTCTGTGAGGATTTCATACAATTAAGCAATTAGCTGTCGGGAACCACTCGCAAAAAAACAACTGGATATTATACTGCATATTAAAGCACGTTCACCTCCTTCACATAAGAATCCCCCCGTCTCTGACAAAAAAACAGTGGCCCAACCGAAGAAATACCATGGGCCCGTCCGCAATCTCCTTTCCCAAAACCATCCCATGTATAAGGTATGGAATAGTACTTTGCATTGGGGATCATCAGGTCAAACAAAATGGGAGAGTCTGGGGCTCTTCCAGTTGAGTACCAAATAACACCGCCGCACCGCATCCGTCCCCGTCTTCCGCGTGGACTCCGGTGGTGTGTGTGTTTTAGCCCGAGATGCTCAAAGGGACCGAGCTGAAGAAGTTCCCGAGCTGGGGATCCTCGCGGGGTACCGACACGTGTGGATTCAGATGCGAAAAGAGCCATCTACTCGAGTGGATTCAGAGGTTCGATGGCACAAGTTACCCCCAGTTTGGTGGTTTACAGCATATGCACCCCCCCATCCAAAAGACATCTATTTGGGGGTTGTGCCATCTACTCTGAAACCATAGTGAGCATCTGGTGCAAAAGCATCAGGTATGCAGCCAAACGCTGCAATGGTCCACTGATTCACATGGACGCTTTGCAGTTCGGAATGCGGCCTTCAGGCTTCGTCCTTCCGGGCGGGTCCTTGCGGCCCAGGACCTCGCTACAGATCAAGGCTCCGATATAGGAGATAATGCCCAGTAGGATCATCGCATCCATGATGGTGATAATCGTGCTGACGAGACCTGACTGGTGAGGGACTTGGCATGACGAACAGAAGAAGAGGGAAGAACAAGAAACACCAACACAGACTAACACATACAGGTCTGATGACTTCGGGTGCAATACATATAGTTCAGAAGTCTAGCTGCTTGGGCAAAGAGCTTTATCTATATATGTAAACTAATAAACTATATGGGAAAATACATATATAGTTGATTAAATATTCAATATTATCTCAATATTTTTTTATGTTGAATTAACAATAAACTTGCAATATCAAATCACATGGCAATGGGATGTCTTCACTTATACAATCACCCAGTGGATGAAGTACACAAAAAGATACTTGTACGGATGACTCAGACTCACTGTCCAATCAATCACCAATAACGTGTAACCGTTACACACTGCAACTGAAATCCCGGTCTCTGTATTCCTTACCCAAACGTATATACATAGATTGGAGTCGTTGCATGTCAGTGATCCTTTCACGTTGGAATGTCGGGGCCTTTCACCAGCAAGGCCAAGGCCGGGAGGATCTGCAAGAGATGCACCATTCGCAGGATGCGCAGCAGTCGCACCGCCCGGACCACTCCTGGTACGGGAGCACAAGCATGCAGGCAGGCGCCGAGCCGGTCACGGCGCCGAGGACAGTCTGCGTTGTTTTGGAAGAATCCCAAGGGCAGCAGCTGAATTGGACAATATCCCTGCACCATCTGAGTTAACATCGTTTTGCCAGGTTCCAAGTGGTGTAGGATTTTTTCCATCTACCAATGCTTTGGCGAGCATCCGCATCCTCTAAGAGTCCAATCAAATAATTACTCTAGCTGCATCTGTGCTGCTGTGAGGGTCAAACAGCATTGGTTCACTTCAATCTGTGCTGCTGTGAGGGCCAAACGTATGCAAATAGAATCCAGCTGGGGTTTTAAGATGTTTCATTCAACAGGGCCAAACTGCCCAACAACGTTCTTCTTGATGGTTGAAAATAACGTCACAACAATGTGGACCATGTGGGTTTTGCGACCTTCTGCCTTGTTTTTTGGCACGTCTCGTCCACAGGCTCATCGTGCAAAGTACAGTAATCATACTGATGGAAGAAATCCTAGACGACCTTAGATGGTGAAAGCATGTGGTTCCCTATGTGTATGTTTTTCGAGCATATATGTAGTTCAGTCAGAATCTTCAACATCTGTCAAAACGAGGGTCACGTCCCAGCATCGTTCACATCCGGTTCGCCGAGGGTCCCAGCATCGTTCCACTGATCTGAATGCTCGAAAACTGGACCAGTCCCACGTAGCCGGAGCCGCCCAGAAGCAGAATCAAGTCTAAGACGCCCAAAGGAGAACAAATGTGTTTCCACCTGCCGGCGAACATCTGACGCTGGTGTAGAAAGACCTTAAATAGATGGTTGAACTTGGTACGGAGCAATAGGAAAGATCTTGATAGGAAGGATAATACGAATAATACTTGTATAATAAGTTCAAAAGAACTTTCACATCACAAAGGACAAAGTAGATTAAAAAAACAAACAAACTGTACTTTCTGGGGTCTTCTATCTCTTTGGGATGATTCCCTCATGTCCGAATCTCTTTGGCTGCGAGTCAACACCGCCTTGGTTGACCCACCGAAACTTCCCCCATGATTCGGACATCAACTCGCTCTCGGCTTTGCCTCAAGGCTCTGCTCCTCAAGATGTACTCCACTAAAAAAATCACCTCAAGGCAAACACCAGTTCTCGTCAGACGCCAATGTTTCTCATACGCTTCTAACTTCTACGTCATTACATTCTTGCAATGAACATATCTTGTTTAATTTATCATAGTCTACCAAGGGATCTATATGATAATATATCTTATGATAGTTTGATGTACTATCTTTCAAATGAATTTAGAGTGCAGGGCGCTGTGAGTGTACACCTTTATCTTGTTTCTCATATGCTGTTACCTTGTGTCATGTGATAGAAATGTCAATGAAGCAGCTCACCTGGTGAATAATTGTGCTGTGCAGTTTTGCAGTTTAATGTTTAGTATATGTTTGTTGTGTTAATCGTTGTATTTATATAATATATATATATCATGTACGCATGTTTTAACAATATATTCTTGCTCTGGTACAGTAAAGCAAGTGAGAGAGGTATATATAAATGCAAATAGTATGTATACTGTAGTATATATATAATAACCAAAATTTCAAACAAAAAGTTGATAATACTACAACATTGTTCTAATGTAAAGACTATTGGGTTAATAGTTTTGGATTTTGGGATTGTGTTGTTTGACACAGTCTGCCATCAAACAACAAATCCAAAACATCCAACCCAATGGATGTTGGTGCAGAAAAGACTATTGGGTTAATAGTTTAGGATTTGTTGGATTGTGGTTTTTGACAGCAGTGCAGTGCAGAGATTCTGATTCAGATATGATGATCGCGTGGTTCATGACTGCAGTGCAGTGCAAAGATTCATTCAAACATTCTGATGATTGTGGTTGAGTGCAGTGCAGAGAATAAGACAACATGATAAAACAGTGTACTACCGTGGTCCCCTGTTCTGAAGAAATTCGAGTGTCGAAGGGAGATCGATAAGATGGAAAAGCCGAGAATTTTTCTGGACCTGTTTGGAACAATTGATAAACATGGTCTAAGTTTCTGGACAAAGCGGAGGTTCGCGAGGAAGAAATGAAATGATATATAAGTCCTTCTTAGAAAGAACGGAGGAATCGGTCTATATAAGTTCAATTAAATTCAAACAACAACATGGAACATGAGGTCTCTGCCGATACCAAACTTTGTGAACTTCCCAACCGATGGTACTCCAACATGCGGTTAGTGTTTTCTATGCCCCTCATGTTGCCGGCCTGTATGGCGGGGACTGCAGGACAAATGTTTCTCCCTGATTCGGTGGAGTTGGAAGGTATCTTCGCTCTCAAAAGCTCAGCCCGAACAATATGAGTGTGCTTGCCAGGGATAGGGCAAGCACACAGTTCATGAACCCAGGGATCTCTGGACTTGTTGTTCTTGCTGCAAAGTATATTGCCCATCACACAAAACAAGTGATGTTGGTTGCCCGTTACAAACCAAAAGCAGTCGCTGTGATCGCCCATGAATCTGGAACAACATCTGACGCCTCATCTACCCTCCAACACCTGATAAACTTTCGTCCCTTCCAACGGAGCCAATCAACCCAAAGGGGACTGTTGCGATCCGTGGCCACCTGGGAGACCATCCCCCGGTCCATGCGGGCCATCGAGCTCCGTCTCTTGGTCCGGTGCGCCCAAAACAGGCGGGACTGGTGGGGAGCTTGGATCAGCCAAGAGATCCAGTGGTGGCGCCTCTCAGTTGGGAAACCATCCACGAGTTGGTGTTCTTTCAATCTAGTGTCTGACATCTCCGGCACTCATTGAGAAGGCCTCAACCAGTCAACTCATTCCGGTGACCGGTTAAAAGTGAAAACCATTGAGAGCCTGCCTTGTGGCCGGAAACAGCATGTTGATCCTCCGAGTGGCCAGCAACAAACAGTCCACCACCAACAGGGTGTAGAAGGCTGGGCCACCTGCCATTCCCAAGAGCGAACTGGGTGAAGCATTCTCGACTGGTTGGTTTATGATTTTCCCAGGAGTTTCGGGCTGTCGTAAGTCAACATATGGGATTTTTCACCAAGGGGATTGAACATTTCAGCATACTTTGTTTGCCATGATCTCCAAGCTCCGTGGGCCATATATCTACAGAACCGGCCAGGTCAGCACCACATCTGGTGGTTCTTGGGTTCTTTCAAACGTTATGTATATACATGTATATATTGTATGTAATAATTAATTCACTTATACTTATAATGGATGTCCATCGGTGCTAGTCTCCGGGTTCGTGGTGCGTGATCCATTGAAACATCAACCACAAACACTTGTCTTGTAAATGATGAGGCGTATGTGTTGGATGGATGCAACCTGCTTGGAACTCTGTTGTGGACATTTTTAGACATCTGCAAAAGAAGCACTGCAATGTTCTCAAGGCCATACGTTTGGTCGCACAAAAATGAGCTGGTGCATTTACACTGTCTGTAACAGTGTATTCTGAGGAGGACCTAAATGTCGAGGTAGGCCAGTCGTGGGCTTTGTTCCTTTTCACAGCGACCACAGCGCCGGTCTGGAACATTGTGAGCGTGGACTGAGGTTCGCTTTTAAGCCAAGGAGGGCCAGTGCATTCAACGTTTTCTAGACCAGGGCGTTTGTTGAGTCTATAAGCTGCCAACAGGTGTCGGTTTCCACAAGAAAAGTGTGCAAGGGATCATCAACACACAACCCGGTAAGATAAGCCTCCAAGGTATAAAGGTTCACCATTTTAAACTATGTCGTACCTGGCAGGCATAAAACGACGCCAACACCGTTCCTGGCCCTCCATGCAGCCCCCACCCAGCGGAAGCTAAAGTCGTGTCGCCACTGCTGACCCAGTACAAACACGTAAGCTTCCCGGAGAACCCCAGTCCGGACACATGATAACACCACCAACACCTCAATGGATCTGCAATAAATGCTGAAACCTTCAGGCAAAAGAGAGGCCTCGTTTCTAGTCCCTAAACCATCCATGGGACTGGAATCATTACGTATATACATGTTATCGAAAAAAAGAACATAATATCAATTCTACATACCGTACCCCATTGATGGCCCTCATGTATGTATTCCAATCCCATGGAGTCTATCGGGTTGCTTAGGTCTTACATACTATTCCTCTTTTGCTCGTCTGACCCAAAGGAGTCGGACCGGTCACCGCCTTGTTGCCGGAGTGTCGTGGGACCCTCCGAGTGTTGCAGCTCCAACTCCAGTTCCAGTTCCAAGCCTTGGACGGAGGGGTCGAAGTACCGAGAGGGACCGACTTTTGTAAGGCCGAAATCGAAAGTTGGGCCGTCTTCCCATGTCAGCAGTGAAGGAACCTTGCGGGGAATTGGGAGGAATGCTAATTGGTCACCACCTGCACGACTGGACGTTTTGTCCTGGTGGAACTTCTCCTGATTCTCTCCCTGAGAAAACACCACCGTCTTCAACGCCACCGTTTGACCCCTCAGAGATCTGCCTACCACATGGGTAGATTCTCAGTCGCATCAGTCGCTGTTTAGGTCCTTCGAAGGTAGATTCATGGGGGGAGAGCTATGCATTGCTCGTCTCAGCCTTTTTCTGGTGGTCAGTGGGGAACCAAAAGGGCTAGACAACTATGGACAAGTCATCATTTTGCTGCTGTCACATGCTGTCACTACAGTCACTGCCACAAGGGCTTCAGCCAAGCTTCGGCATATTGAACTCCTACAACGCAAATTACACTCCCTGAAATAGAAAACTTACGGATGACCCCTTTCCTCTACAACTTACGAATCAACTCTGCAGGGGTAAATCAACTCCAGGTGTGGCTCGCTCAGCTAGGAGTTGATCGGGGTCATGAACCATCTAGTCAGAACCTGCATCCCCAACATTCCAGTCAGGTGGTTTAAGGGTGAACGTAAATAAATGTGCCATACATGGAGTGTCTGGGTATTTGGCAGTCATTTGCCAACTGAAGTGTGCCCTTGGAATCAGATCGGTCAAGCGCCAACCTGAGCCGGTTGTCGCCTTTATTCACCAGGAAAAATGGAAACATTATTTCCTCACAATGATTTCTCATGGCAGTATGATAGCCTCGCATGTTTGCAGCTACTGCAGAAGTTTCTATAATTGATTATAATCGTAAATGTGTCTCAACCTCGAGGATTTGTCAAACGGGACCTCCACGCACCAATAAATTAAAGAATAGATCCCATATGATCCCATCGATTTACGATTTAGGAACCCCAAGTTCAACTCCCAAAGGAGTTTTTCTGCGCGATCCCAGTGGCCCATGACGATGCACTGAACAGCGATGGCCGCACCGACCTGGGAACAGCGATGGCCGCAGTGGACTGCAACACAGACATCCAGAGATTACCATCGTTCACCAGCATTGACCACCAAGTAGGGCCGTAGGTGCAAACTCTTGAGTGAATTGAGGTATATATATATATATAGATACACACGGTATATATACTAATATGATGTGTATATATATATGTATATATGATATGTGTGTCATTATGTGTCGGGATTCTTTTTGGGGGGTTCGTGATTACGCACCCAAACATATCTCTGTAATATCAAATCTCCTGACAGCTGAAATGATACATGGCTGAGTGAGGTACTCGTTGTGGCGGGTCAGCCTGAAGGATGCCATCGTTCAGAACCAGTCACTCAAATACATGTCTGACATGTCTCTTAATGGACCCTCCCATCCAACCACTGGATTGCCACGAGAGTCGCGTGATGAATGGTTGAATTCCCTTTGGGGCACTATCACCACTTACAGTCAAACACCCTGTGGAAGGTCAAGACTCAAGACCTGCATCATCCTGCATCGTTACTGGCCCAAGATTGCCCAAGGCAAAACCAAAAAGCCCGCCGGCCAAGTTCAGTGAGCCCAGCTAACCTTTTCAACACCTCTTCCGGCGGGTTCTCCGCATGTTTAAGCACTGACCTAGTTCAGTGGTGCCAACCCCCCTGATTCAGTCGCTTCAACGGGAAAACACCAGATTGAAACTTTCCTTGACTGATAGCACTGAGACACTGTTGAAACCACCTTTCTGCCCCAAGCCTATCATATCTTGCCAGGCCACGAAGAGTGAACCTTTGGCCGACAGGATCCAGGACACCCCCTCCAGCTTCACCCGCTTGACGTAGCGCTGATGGATGCCATCCTCCGAGCGGTGGCGTTGAGGCAGGCAGCTGTGGAGTCTCCCATGCGATGGTGAAGAACCAGAACTCCACATAGCCATGGTCAATGGTTACAGTTACAGTTGATATCCCGAACATATAGAGGAATCTGCCTTCATGTTCGGTGGTCAACCAGAGGGGTTCCCTTTGGGGATCATCCGATAGACTTGGAACGACAGCCCTTGCGCCAGGATGACACACACACAAATCGAGAAGTGTGTGTGGTGTGTGTGTGGTGTGTGTGTGGTGTGTGTGTGTGTGTGTTTCTTTTTTCAGTCATTGTTCAGCTATCTTCTGACGTCACATGAGTGTCATGCTTTGCCATTTCATCCGGATTTTGTCATCCTTGACCCATACATCCCTCCCATGTTCTTTTCCACCAAATGATTTGTCTTATGAACCAAAATGAACATGTTGCACTCGTTTGCGGATTCATGTGACAAAGACCAATCTCTCGATTCCAGCCAAATTCCGGACTGAGCTCTTGGGCAGTGAATTTAGCTGCTTCAGTCGTCGCTGCAGAGGCGTCGTCCCACGTTGCCAGATCGATGTCGCCGGCGGTCCGTCGTTTGGGGGCGGTTCTTTCCCTGTTGTGTTGTCTCCTGTTTGTTCACCTGAGGGGGATCGCATGTTCATGCTCGCTCATACATACTCGCTCACCCCGGGACCCTTGAAAAAGGGAAGGGCCGTTGGGTGGCGACGGAGCGTGTGGTCAACCAGGGTCCCCCAGTTTTGACCTGGCGTCACGTGAGTCACGTGACATTTGGAACAAAAAGGAACTGTTTCTGTTTCACGGTAAAGAATTCTGTCCTATATCCATCTCGTCCTTCACTCATCCTCGAGGGTACTAAGTAGTAGACACAGCCAAGGTCCATCATATCAACCAGTCCATCGCATCATGTCATTTCGCGGCCATGAAACTAAAGGTGCTAGCCTTGCGGCATTAATTGTGCAACCAGTCCAGCAAAACCCAGCAAACACAAACAACCGTCTGGTTTGGAACTGGAACATGTTGCGAATCGTCAAGGACTACTGCTTTAGGCTCAGGGCTTTTAGTAAATGAATTAATAGTACATAGTAGTACCATACTGCTGCAGCTGAGAATACAACGGCCTGTACCAACAAACATAGTGAGGCCCTTGCCGCTTCTAAACTGTTTGGGGAATGTTCGGGATATGGTCTTCAGTTTGGAACCCTGATTGAACCCTGGAAGTGAGCTTTGTGGTGGATTAGGAATACCGAGAAACAGGGCAACACATTCAGCACTTCAACTGCCTATCCCACGAAACCGGAGACACTCGGTTTCCAGGCGTTCAACCTTTGAACCCTCCGAACTGCAGGGTCTTGACATGTTTTGACCCTAAGCCCTAAGGCAAACTGTTTGGCCCTATACAAATGGCATTGCATTGAAGCGCTCCCTTCGGCCCGAGCATCGAGTTTGATCCACTTGGGCGAATTGGCCACGGTGGCGAAGGAGCTTTCCTGGACTCATGGGGCCCGGAGGGACCGCTGAGACCCAGCACTTGGATGATTCACGCACCAGCTTATACAAACGTAGCTTATATATATATATATGGTGGGTCCATCTTACCAGGGCTCGAGCATAGCCTATAAGGAAAGATCGTAGCCCCAGTGCGCACGCGCACGGTTTTTAGGTCCCTTCGAGAGCCATAGGCAGCCCCAGCTGGCACAGGCGAGCCCGCCGGCGAAGGTCCGTTGCTCGAAAGGTGATCAAGGCATTCCAGAAAGATCCGGTACCAAGACGTGCTGGAAAGGCCCTTGCTGCCCAACGACTGTTGGAAAGACACCATAGCAGGCCGTGCTATACCATGCCATGGAAGAAAGGGCAGGATTGGTATTGGGACCAGTCCCAATGGAATGCACCAAGCCGCAAGAGAGACAACAAGAATACCAAAGACGGCAAGACCTACATGATCGGGTACGATGGTCGCCGCATCGAGGTAGATGGAGATGGTGGATCCTCTGGGCAGGGTTGGTTCTCTGGGTCGCAGGATATGCAGCTCAAGGAAGAGAACATGAAGCTCAAGGAGACCATGAGGAATATGATGGCCAAAGATGCGGTGAAAGAAGTCCCGAAGGAGGTGATCGATCTGGTCAAAGAAGACCCACGGGAGACTTTAAAGGCCAAGCAGAAAGAGTTGAACCAAGAGCGGAAAGCTCTCAACAGACTCTGCAAAGTCAAAGACGAGATCACCAAAAAAGACCAAAAGTTCCAAGCATGGAGGGACTCGATCAATGGTGGAGTCCGGCAGGAGGAGAAGCGACACAGTGGGGTCATGGCCGAGTTGCAGTCAGAGCTGAAGCGTCTAGAGAAGTTGAACAATGGAGAAGGAGACCCCGAGACCCTCGAGATCGAATCCGACGAGGACGAGCTCCGCCAAGAGGCCAATGCGCTTCGGCAAGAGCTGAAGACGATCAAGAGCCAATTCCGGGACTACACCGAGTATGCCACCCAGATGGAGACACGCAATGCTCGCATGTTCGAAGCAATGCAAGTGCAGATGGCGCAGTTGTTAGGTGCAGTCCAAGGGTCAAGATTAGTGGGAGAAATTGCCACAACCTCGCCCAAGCAAGAAGTCAAGCCCCCTCGGACGATTGGGGACGAAGTCAAGAAGGAGACCAGAACCCCCAGTCCAGGAAAGAGGGGAAGATCCAGAACACCAAGCAAGCGAGCTCGGCATTCGATGTCAAAAGAGGAGCTTCAATACAGTTTCGAGGATCTGCAGTCGGAGGTTGCCCAGCTTCCGGAATTATGCCAGCAGCGTGTTCTGCAGGTGATCGCCGAGAAGCCATCCGAGTTTGCCTCATGGACGTCGGCCCTCCAGCTCATCCAAGAGGTGAAGGAGAATATGCTTGGAGGGAAAGTGAATGGGCCCTCTATGCCCAGCATGGCAACCGAGGCAAACGGCCAAGGACCAGGGCAAGGGCTTGCAGAAGTGCCCCTGCCGACACTAGAACATCCTTGCAGGCCTTTCCGACGCTTCAATGGGAAGGAGAAGGAGAAGACTGGGCCATATGCTACCCCTGGTCGATCGCCCAAGAGCACTGCAAAGACTCCAGATGGCAGTGTGAGGGCGAGTATGGATTTGATGTCTTAAGTGGAATGGCCCTGAGGGGACCTGGCAGCGCCGTGTTTGAAGGCAGCTGCAAGCCCCTTGGCGCTTTCAGTTTTGGTTCGTCTTTTTCGTTTGAGCCCCTTAGTGTCTTACCCAATATTGGATGGTCCAATTGTGTGGTAAGCGTTGTTTATGGACCATTTGAAGTCCAGTCAATCTTTTGGGGATTTGACAAATTGTCTGGTTTGTCCGGAGATGCACAGCGGATAGCCGTGGGCAATTTGCTGATCGTTTGGCCAGCTTCTTCTGGATCTCTAGAAGAAAGCCATATGGATTCTGTCCAGTTTAAGGGTGATAGTCATGGCTTTGGTGCTGATCGCCAGATTCTGCCTACTCGGGGTACTGGTATTTTCCATGATCTGCTTCAAAGTATGGGATTGACTTTGTTCCTTATTATCTGGACCTTTGCGGCGTTGAGGGCCTTTGAATTGATCCCTTTGGTTGGACGCCAGCTTTTGGCATCCAGGCACGCAGCTGGTCGTTTGTACACTTGGTCAAGTGTCGATGGGTATTATGCCTTCCTCTTTTGGCAAGCCATGACAGTTTTCTGCAATGGCCTGATCCTAGAACTTGCTGAAGGCGACGAACATGGTTATAGTACGCTCGGAGGGGTTCAAGTGTTGCTATGCCTGTTTTATGCCAATTCATTCGCATTGCTATGTGGCATCACCGGTTTGCTAGGTAGATGTCGAGAAGAAAGAAGTATGCCGAGGCCAGCTCCCAAGGCATGCAGCCTCCTGGCAGGTAGAAGGTGCCCTGTTAAGCTGAGGCCAAGAAATCGATGCCAATGGAAGGTCATTTGGTTTCTGCTTTTGATAGGTGGTGCTGAATGTGTGACAATTGGCAACTGCGCCAACCAGAGAGCATTGCTAGGCGACGAACTTTCTGTTGATGGTGCAGACGATGAACACCCCTTTTGGCTTGATAGGGATGTTGCTGAAGAGACCATTCTTGCTAGGTCTACAAGCCCCCAGTTTCGAGGGAGGCACTCCCTGTTTTGTGGAGAGAGACAACCAATTTTCTCTTGTTCGGCCGACAATCGGTCTGTGGAGCCCTCTCCTTGTTCCTGTGCACGTCTCGACAACCAGTATGAGATTTGTGCTGAGCATGATTTTTTCCCACGTTTTGGGACATTCGAGGCAACAAATGCACCAATGTCCGATAGTGGAGACTTCCTATATCGAAACTTTGATCCGTCATGTTTGGGCCTCAGCCTAGTCCAGAGCTCTGCCAAAATCTGGCCTAGTCCAAGCCTCAGCTGCCAGATTCAGACCCCTGGTCTTCCTCGCGACCGGAGAGTTCAGGTTTGGTTTGCAAGCAGCAGGGTTTGCCAGACGATGCCACGTGCCTTCACTATTACTGGCACTGATTTGGTGGGATTGCAAGTTCCTTTCAATGAACTCTGGAAAGACAGGTGTGAGACTTTAACTTGTGAGTATACGATTGTTCGACCACAGCCTCAGGACTTCGATATGAATGAGAACCAGCTTCATTTCCTGCTGTATGTTCCCTCTCCTTTTGGGGAGCTCCCCTTTTTGATTGTTAAACAATCAGGAAGTAATAATGCAGTGAGAATGAGTTACTTTTCTTGTATGCTGCCCAGGTTCGACTTGCTTGGGTCGATTCGTCGAACCAATGTTGTTGAGACAACTGAGCGTGTCTTGTTCCTGGGTCAGAGACCAGAGACTCTGAGGAGTGGAACCCTTCTGGTCGTACAGACTCAGCTGACTGGGCTGTCACAGATGCAGAAGGATAATGAAGATCATAGTCTAATGCAAAGCCAACGTCCTGTTGTTCACGTTGAGCCTGAGCTAGCTCACGTGCTGAATAGTCTTGGTATAGGAGAAGCTGGAGTTACTGTTTGGCTGCACACTTGGGATCGACGAGAGACGTGGTCTTTTGTCCATAGAAGGCATGTGTTAGCTTTAAATGGGCCGGTACGGCCGCAGATTTTAGCACAATGGCGTGATTTCCAGATACGCCCGCATGCTCACCTAGTCCCTGTGCGTCCAATTGAATACAGTGCCTCTTTCCTCCTTTTGCCTGTATGTCCAGAGAGCTGGGTAGGTGTCCTTGCAACGGTAGCGACTTTAACCGAATATTGGCAGGGCACCTTCATATATCGAACTGATCGATTTCCATATGTCCATGAGCTGTTTGCTGCAAGATTGCCTCATGTGCAGTGTGTCTGGGTCACTGAGTGTGTAATTGTTATAGGTCCGAGAGTCTACCGATGGGAGCAAAGTGCGCCCATATTTTCTGGTGTCTCGCTTACATTTGTTGAGAGACAGCCGTTGCCGCGCCAGGTTGTCCCGCTTGTTGCTGACCCGAATGCAACAAGCGCGGGTACCTCAGAGGATGTGAGAACTGCCGACTCCGCATCTAGTGTAGACATGGACTCCCTTTCTGGTTGTCAGTCCTTTAGCGACGATGCACACCAGGATGACGTGATGCCCCAAGATGTGACTGCACAGAGCTATGATACCTTGCAGCAAGGCAGTGATTTTGCCGAAGAAGAAGAAGCTTTCTGCTCTATGCAACGAACAGTTGTATCGGCGCCGTTTGTGCCGTTTGCGGTAGCTTGTGAAAGAGGCTTGCCGTATCTCAAAGTATTACGGCTTACCAGGAAGGAGATTACTGCCGTATGGCAAGAATCAGGGATTGATCTGGTTTACGAGCACTTTCGATCCCGTGAAAACGGCATCAGGGAGAAGAAAATCATGGGATGGAGTTTCTCCCATTATGGGCAAGCTTTCGGCTCCCCTTTTGCTGCATGGATGAGACGCACTGGCTTGTGGGCAACGCAGCTGCTTTCGCCCTTCGAAGATGAGGGGTATCGTGAAGTGCAGTTCGTGCAAGTTTTTCCGCAGCCGCTCATGGTTGAAATTGCCGGGAATGGACGGGGTGAGCACGATGTTGTTGTCTTGGCTTTCACCGATGAGACAGCTGCGGAGGAGGCCTTACCGCTTGTGGTTCAAAGTGAATTGTCAGATGTCCTTGACACGATTGCAATCCGATGCCCGCCAGGATGCACTGCAAGTATCATCTGCGAGATCTTAGGGATGGGACACAAGTGCCGGCCGCCTATGCAAGCTGTAGCAAGATTCCATTATGGTGATCTTATACGTGTTTTTACGGATAAAGACCGTATTGGCCTACCAGCTGGAGCGCTTCTGCGACTTTCTATTGAGTCCACTGACGAACAGGCATGTTCCGAACTGCCAGAACAGCGGCCGCTGCGAGAACATCAAACCTTGTTGATCCCTCTGCGCGATGTCCCGGTCGACCCAGTTGATGAGCAACTAATTTTGATGCAGGTGCAGTGGCAGATGGAAATGAATGCAG